TTTCAGCAGTGGACCAAGGCACCTGCGGCCAAAATGCCACTGCACCACTGCACCACTGCACCACTGGAGTGGGTAGGCTTGGCTTGAAAAGTATTCATCCCAAAGGTAGAGAGACAGAGAGTGAATATGACAGAAAGGCAGCACCCACCTGCTGGTTCACTCCCTGTACGGTAACCATGGTCCCTCGGCTAGGACTAAAGCCAGGAACTCTGTTCAGGCCTCCCACGTGGTGAGTAGGGATCCAATGAGTTGAGCCAGCACCACTGCCTCCCAGGGCCCAGGGTCTGCACCAGCAGGGAGCCAGAGGCAGGGAGTTTGAACCCAGGCATGCCAATGTTGAGAGATGGGCATGCTAACTGCCAAGTTAAATGCCTGCCCCACCATTAGTTTTAAGGCTAAATTTCAGTGAAGACCAAGTTTCCAAGGGTACCTTGAATGAAAGTAAAGGCACTTGGAGAAGAACGCATAGACGAGTTATTCACATTGAAATCCCTTGTCAGATCTTTTGTAGCTGGGTTGCCACGGAAGAGTCAAGTCCCTCAAAATAGAAACATGGGTAGAACCAGTATGCTGTGGAGGTAGCAGAATGACAGCACAGCTTCCAGTTCTGCTGCAAAGAAGCAACCTTGCAGGATGACAGGGGGACGGGGGCCTGAAAAAGCCAGCTAAAGCCTAGGAGAGGGGAGTGGATGCACCCAAGAGAAGGGGCTCCGAGTAGATCCCCTCAAGCACACCCTGCTCTCAAGCACACCAGCCTACTGCTTTCCAATAGGAGGGCTCACACTGCCTGCCCCGAATCCCAAGCCAATACCCTCCCTGCTCTTGGGGAACACCACTATGATGTCTCCTTGTGTCAGCATACTCACCACACGTGCTCATTCTGGTCCCTCACTGGTCTAACTCCCAGGCCTTCTCCCCAGAATGACCCTGCGGTATTCCCCGAGAACTCTGGGAACACCCAGTTAGGTTACATGTTCCCATATGCCCAGAGAGGTAGGTATTTTGCTCTGTGATGGACAGAAGGTGTGCCCGAGGGTGCCACTCCCTATGGGCACGCCACAATTAGTAACCTCACTGGGACCTGGATTTTCCAAACACAGATCCACAGATCACAAGACACAAAGGCGATAAGGTCTGCAGTCACAATGCCTCTGTAATCTACTCTATATGCTCAGCCACAAGAAACAGCCCGGGTTGAACAAAACTCAAAGAGAATTATCTAAGCAGTGTCTGGCCCCACCATGGGTTACTAGCACTGCAGGCAGGACATTAAGCATAGCATCAGCCCTTAGTTATTTTATGATTTATGATTTAATTCAAATGTAGAGTAAATGAATGAGAGAGAAAGAGAGACATTGCTCATCTGTTACACTTCCCAAACAGCTGCAACAGCTGGGGTTGGGCCCAGAAGCTAGAACTCTGCAGTTCCATCTGGGTCTCCTACATGGGTGGCAACGGCCCAAGCACTTGAGCCATCCTCTGCTGCTTTCCCAGGGGTATTAGCAGGGAGCTGGATCTGAAGCAGAGCAGCTAATACTCAGAAGGGAGCTCCAACACAGGATGCTGGCATGGCAGGAGGGACCTAGCTCACTGCATCACACTGCCCACCCCTCTTTGAACTATTTGTTGGTTTACACTTTCAAAACTGGGTGACTCACTCCCTCCGAAATCACAGTCCAGCTCCCGCAGTCTGAAGCTGCTGGGGTCCGCGAGGATCTCTCCTGCTGCTCCCCTGTCCCCGCAGAACACACAGCCAGGGGCCCGGAAGTGCCCCTTCCCCTTCAGCCCCAGGCAGGCAGCTCATCAGACTAAAGCTGTCAGCGCTTCACCCCCCAAATGGAGCCACTGCACGGGGCTCCCACAGAGACAGCCCTCATTTCACAGTGTCCTTGCCACAAATAGTTCTCCGTGAGCGCAAGCCACACCTTCTCGTGTCCCAGGAACGCAAGGGTGAGACGTGTCCTCGGCTTAGGCCTTCCCACGGAGCCCAAGCTCTCCCCAGTGTCCCACCTGACTCCTTCAGACCCCACCTCCATTCTACACCTTTTCCAGGGATTGTTCACATGCTTACGATGCTCACGCATGGCCCAAACAGCAACAATTAATCACGGTCCTCACTCCAAATGTACTTGTTCTTGGGTTCTTTGGGAGTTCTTGCCCACCCTGTCACTCACCACTGCAGGGGACTCAGAGACAAAGGAGTACACACCTGGTGGTATTCAACTCTGGCTGGGAAACTCTTACAGTAGGCCCAGGAGCTGGCACAGATAGGTGATGAGAAAAGGTGGCAAGAAATACCAAGGATCAATGCAGACAACTTATATCATAAGAACATCAACATAACGAATACAGTACTGCTCAGACCTCAAGCCAGCACATCTGAGCTCCTTCTCGCGGTGCGCCGATACTCATGGATACTAAATTCTGGAACTGCAATATGATCCAATTCCTTGCAAGAATCTGACTTGGGAAGCACTGGATGTGTCCCACTTATTTGCAGGGCACCTGTGTGAACAGCTCATTAAGGAAATGCTGGGTGAGTGCCATGAACTCGGTACTCATCGCAACATGGCACTGAGCACAGGAAAAGTGGGAGATGCCAAAGGTGGCTACATCTGGGCAGGATGGAGTCAGATGGGGTGCTCTGAGCAGAGCAGGATGGTACAGCTGTGAGTGGGAGGAGGCAGGCAGGGTGCTGGGCCTGGAGCTGTGTGGCTGAGTAGTGCTGATAGGTCCACCTGATGCTGGGGAATGACCTAAAGGCAGAGATGGAGTTGACCCGGCATGAGTCTAGCTCTCCAAGGCCTCTCCTGGGAAAGTCACAGAAAAGAAAGATTCCTCAGAGGTGACACCTGGGTTGGAGGGGTCAGAAGGCAAATCTGACCCTGTCACAGGATAGGTGATTGGGGAAAGGTGTGCACCTGCCGTGGCAGTGACCCAAACACTGCTGTAAATGGATGGGGGCGGAGTGCGTTCCAGGAAAAACAGAGAGCTGAGCAAAGGGGGAAAGACTGCAGGAAGGGGTGGAGGTGCTGATTAGCTTCTGAGTCAGGTAACCCAGGCACATAAATGCAACTCTTGAGAAACCCGACCTGCAGGACCAAGAGGTACAGTGGAAACAGTACTAAATTAGTAGTCCAGAGAAGCCCCGTGGTCCACTGGGTGGTGATCATTCTGTCAAACGAGAGACCACCCAGGAGCGGGGACATCCGTGTGGCAGCTCCTGGCCAGTACTCTCATCTTGGTCAGCTGGAGTTCAGCAGTTCAGATTCTGCTATATGTTACCCCAACTTAAAAAAAAAAATGCAGTTTGTGAAACACCTGCTTCAGATACACACACATAGTTGTGGAAGTGTGTGCTCGAACAAGATGCCAAAAAATGTTTCTTTGGGGGCCCACTGCATAAAGCGTCCACAATACCCAGAACAAGACGGATAGGTTTCTTCATTGAGACTTCAACTTCTACCTTCCAGGTGAATAAACCGATGTAGACACGCGATCTGGCAGAACATCAAATCCTGGGCAAAAGTCACATACACCATCAGCTAACTCAGAGTTTTAACAGAAGCCAAAACAAGGCTCATTAACTCAACTGAATATAACACACGTCTCCAGGAAATAAACACGCCTCAGATACCCGGTCACAGGCACACCTGCCTAGAAGGGCCAAAGGGTGAGTCTAACTGATTTCCTTTTACTCTGGACACACACCAAGGAGCCATGTCCTACGGAAATGTTCATACAAAACCTAACCAGAGTAGGATTTGGGGATTTTACTAGACAAAAAGGGTCCAGCGCCAACCGTACCTCTGCTCCGCTCCCCAAGAGCTGACAGTGTGTGACAGAAACTTTTGAAAGCCTTTACTGAACAGGTGGCGTTCTCCTACTGCACACTCCAACCCAGTACACCTGCAGCTGCCCTAGCCCACCTGCCAAAGCAACAACCCCAGTGAGTACACTTCCCGAACAGGGACTGCAGCTTAAACACCAAGGGCCCTCCTGGTTGGGCACATCATCCTCCCAGGGAGGCAGCAGGCATCTATACAAATACGTGTGGGCACAAAGTCCTCAACGGCAGGCCAGCTGCCAGAGCCCAGCAAACTGCTTCTGATACAAACCACAGCCACCGGAGCGCCTGACTTGGACTTCTGGGCACATTTTTGTCCCTAGAAACCCAGTCTCAATGTGCATACACCTTGGGCATTGTCATCACCAACTGCCACAAGGCAGCCGCTTAAGGTCACAGCCGTTAAAGCTGGGGCAGACGGCTGGCCAGACTTTTGTCTCAGTCCAGAAGGAAACTCAAGTCTTTGCCAGATCTAACCCCCACACCATGCCCACACTTGATGTTCAGCTCAATACTCACTCAATACTTTGCGGTGCTGTATGTTCTCTCAAGGTCAAGGGAGTCCCCAGCCCCTACAAGACTTCAAAACTCACCCTGGTTGGCATGAAGACTGCATGGTATGCCCAGCTATCCAGCCCTACCTGGAGGCTGACCCTCCAAGGAACACAGACAGTATCCTGGGGGGTCACTTGTGCACCCAGAAAGTCTCTTGGAGGCCACCATATTCTGACCCAGACCTCTACAGGGAAGCAAGCAGAGGTGAGGACGACTCCCATGCCTTGTCCAAGGTCACAGCTGGGCTCAAGGCCCTCAGGTGGGGGTGTGTAGCTGTGACAAACTAAGCACAAACCTTCTTGCTTCTTATTGCCCCTGTAACACACACACACACACACACACACACGCCCTCCCCAGTTGCGATGACCATGAGCCCCAAGATCCCAGCTGGTGCCAAGCTGAGGCAGTTAACTTTGGCTCCAGACCTGGGCTCTCCAGGAACCCCTGGCACTGGAGGGGAGCTAGCAGAGGGTGAGCGCGGAGGCCCAGAGACCCACAGAGCCTGGGAGGAGTGGACCCTGAACAACCCGCCCCCCACCACCCACCCTGCATGTCCCAGGCCTCCAGCCGAGTCTAGGGACCCCACCGCCGGGCTCACCGGGTGCGCAGTGCCTGCCACGCGGCGTCAATGTCGGCGTACAGGTTCTTCTCGGAGGGTTTGCCCGAGCTCACGCCGTAGCCCGAGTAGTCGTAGGAGAAGATGTTGCAGTTGATGCGAGAGCCGAGGCCGATGTAGAAGCTGCACATCTGGCCCAGGTCCACAGCGTTGCCGTGCGAGAAAAGCAGCGTGTAGCGACTGGAGGGCGCGCAGCGCACGAACATGCAGCCCAGCCGGTTGTCCCGGGCCGTGCGCGAGAAGAAGACCTCGACGGCGTCCAGCTCGCGCTGCGAGTACTGCCAGTCGGCGCGCTCGCTCAGGTGCAGGCTGCACGCTCCGGGCGCCGCGCCCGGGCCCTCCTCGGCCGCCGCCGCCGCCGCTGGAGGAGGTTGGGCCGCGCCGGGAGCAGCGGCGGCAGAGGCGGGTGCCTGAGCCGGGGCCGCGGCGGAGGGCGCGCCCGGGCCACGCTGCTCGGGCGCCAGCACCGTGTAGGTGGGCTCGGGCGGCAGGAAGGCCAGCTTGGCGGCGATGCGGCTCGGGCAGGGCGGGCAGCAGAAGAGCCAGCACAGCTCACCCAGCGAGAAGCCGTTCATCCTGGGGCCTGGCTCGGGCATCGGGGCGGCCTGGCGCCCGCCACCGCCGCCGCCGTCGCCGGCCCGGGGGAGCAGGGCGCGCGACGACGAGGCGACGGGCGAACGAGCGCGAGCGCGCGCCGAGGGCGGAGGACGGAGAGGCGGGGCCGGCGCGGCGCTGGTGCTCGCGGGCAGCCGGGGCTGGGTCAGCGGCGGCCCCGCGGGCCGGGCGAGGCGCGGGCGGCCGGGGCCGGCGTGCGGCACACAAAGCCCGCGGCGGCGGTGGCGGCGGCGGCGGCCATGGCCGGCTCGTGCGCGCCCCCCGCCGCCGCCACTTCCGGGTTACCGCGCCGTGGCGGCCCCCAGGGGAGGGCGCGGGCGCGGCAGGTGGGCGGGGTTCCCGGCCGCCTCCCGCATCCTGTCCCCGCACCTCCTCACGGGGTATGAGGGGACCGTGTGCTTCCCTGGCTGCTCAGGTGTGCAGGTGCCCAAAGCCTCCCCCATCCAAGTTTCTTTCGAGTATGCAGGTGCGAGGGGAGCTGGAGTGTCTACCTGCCAGTGTGTGCGGTTTTATGAATTGGCCTGAGCCACCTGCAGGTCTGAAGCGCCTAATGGGGAGGCCTGGGTGAGTTGCCCTGTTACCCCATCACCGCGTCTATTCAGGTGGCGACGGAGTGTGACTGGAGCTTCGGCCAGTTGTCTCTGGACCGTGCTGCGTTCACCATGAGCCACGGGCCCATCTGGGGTTGGCTTCATGACCATGACTGGGTCCTGAGTGCCCTTGGCAGTGTGGTTTCACCAGGGTTGTTTAGGGATCAGGATTTTTCATTGGTTTTAGGACGGAAACTCTCCCCCCCCCCCCCAAATCACCTGGACCTTGTATGTTGTAAGGCACAATGCAGGGAGCCCCTTCTCCTGGGCTTAGAGGGTTAGGTTCTCACAGACTAAAGGGGGCAGGGACTGTCAGTGTGCTCAGCTCACCATGCAGGTCCCTGGTTGGTGTGGGTTTTTTGTGACCTTGCTTAGCCTTTGGCTGGTGTTCTTTTGGGAATTTGGCTGATGGCAACTTGGGTGTGACTGCTGGCTCAGGGCTAAGATTCCTGGAAAAGCTCCCAAGACAAGAGGCGATACCCGGCCTCCCGGGGTGGTGGTGGCGGTGGGGGGTTGGGGGGAGGTGGCATCACTGTCTCCATTCTGTGAGTTTGTTTTAGTAACAGACTAATTTTTGCAGTGGTAACAACAGGACCAGGAGAATGTGAGCTAAGTGAGAGTGGGAGGCTGGGATATAGTGGAGCCAGGACTCGCCTGGTATGTAGCATGGTTGTAATGCCATGACATAGGTGTGTGTGCGTGTGCACCCAGGTATGGGGCCTGGGAGTCTGAGTCCTGATGATGGTTTAAATCCACCTGTGTCCTGGCAGGTACTGTCTGATGATTTTTTTTTTTTTTTGAAACATAACTGTTGGTGTTTTCAATCCGTGTATGTCAGAGTGCTACTGTCACGGAGACTCAACATATCCCGGCTGCTAAATCGCCCCCCAGGAACCCACAGGAGATGCCCTTCTCGGACTTGTGGTTTGTCTCGGGAAGAATTCTTACTTTGGCAGAGATGAGTTTTGAGCACTGTGTCTGAGTGCTGGTGTCCTTCCTCACCCCCAGCCAAGCCGTGGCTCAGCAGGATTGCATTTCCTGATTTAAAAACCTTGTACTCTGTTCCGTGGTGGTGTACTATGCCCAGAGTACCTTGTTTCTTGTGCTCTTAGTAGGGGGTATTTCCAAAAGTTCATGGGAAATGAAACTGCAGAGAGAGAGAGAGAGAGAGAGAGAGAGAGAGAGAGAGAGAGAGAGAGATCTTGCGTTGGCTGGTTCACTTCCTCAATGCTCAGGGCAGCTAAGGCTGGCCAGGCTGAAGCCAGGAACCACCTGTCTGGATCTCCTGTGTAGGTGACATGGACCAAGCTCTCGTGCCATCAGCTGCTGCCTCCCAGGATGCACATTGGCAGGAAGCTGGATCAGAAGGAGAGGAATCTCAAGTCAAGCCAGCTACTCCGATATGGAATGTATCCCTCCATCCCCTCCTTCCTCCATCCTCTTCTCTTCTCTGAAAGGTAGAAATACACAGAGAGAGGTCTTTCATCTGCTGGCTTACTCCACTCGTAGCCACAGCTGCTGAATCTGGGACCACCCAAAGCCAGAATGCAAGTCTTTCACATGGGTGCAGTGGCTCAAAGACTTTGGGCCCTTTTTAGTGGCCTTCCCTGGCCATTATAGGGAGCTGGATGGGAAGTGGAGCTGCTGGGACTCAAACTGGCACCCATATGGGATGCTGGCACCCATAAGGCAGAGACTTAACTTGCTATACCATGGTGCCCCCCCATCATCTTAACTGCTGCATCAAACACTGACTCCCCTTAAATCAGTTCATTTTGATGCAAAAACATTGTGAATTTATGAAAATGCATAATGCTGAATAATTAATGGAGAAACTATGCATGGATTTGAAAAAATTGTACACCAAAATAAACTTACTTTTTAAATTCTTTTCTTCAGCAAACTTTAAAGAATATCCTCACATGTATGCAATACTTCTTATGCTCATAGCACTCTCTGTGTTAGTTGCTAAAGCTACAAAGATAAGCAAGACAGTCCCTATTCTCACTTATCTTATGACCCAATTAGGACAATAGCAGAAGATTCAAAATAATTTCTTATGTGCCTAGGGTGCGGAAAAAAAAACTCCACTGCTCCTGAAAGCTGGGGAGCTAGTCATGATTCCTAGTTTTGTGCTGGTCTTTCTGTGGAGGAGTCCCAGGCTTAGACAAGTACATCACCCCCTGGTCTGATTCAGGACTTGAGGAGAAGGCTGGACACTGTGAAGGCAAGGGTTTCTAACCAGTGCAAGTGGGGGGAGGGGCGGGGGATAGCAACCAGCCTTTCTCAAATACCACTCCACCCACCTGTCTTTTGATAAGAGTTGAATAGCAGACAATTCTTGAGAAAGAGCCTCAAGTACTAGTCTTTGTGCTGCTAATGGAAAAGCCAGCCGTTCTATTTCAAGCGGGTCTAGAGGCAGTCTTAACATCTTTAGGAAAATTAAAGAGCCAGGTATTGTTTATTTATACCTCCTCTTATGCCACAAAGGATTTGTGGAGTGTAATTCCAACCAGTCAAGACCTAAGTAAATAGAAGACTGGCTCTGCTTTTCCTGCTGTTAGAAGGCTGCACAGGGATGGGCAGCTGGAGAACTCATTACCCAGCAAAGCATGTTGGTTCCAGCTAGTATGTACATTGCATTGAGATTCACATGGCGTAAGGCAGAGCTACCAGGCAGCTCTCCTGTTGCGCCACGTGGAGCCAGGGGTGAAATGAGTGTGGCCTGCTGGGGAGAGCAGAAGCGTGCCCAGGAACGAAAAGTATCATTAGCTCAGCACACCTCTGACAGGTGTGTCACAGCCTTGGCTGGAACATACCACATGGAGAAAACACGTCGTTTTAATTTATTTGACAGGCAGAGACAAGTGGAGAGAGAATCTTCCTTCTGTTGCTCCACTCTCCAGATGCCCATTCCAGGCTTAACCACTGTGCCAAACACCGTAGTTTAACACAGGCCCTTTTGACACGGTAGGTGACCTCCTATGCCAGTCTGGCAGCAGATAATGACTCAAATGCTTGGGCCCCTGCCACCCACATGGGAGACCTCAATGGAGTTTTGGGCTCCAGCACTCATCCTGGCCCTAGCCCAACTCTGTGGCCATTTGGGGAGTGAACCAATGAATGCAATCTCTCTCTCTCTCTCTTTCTCTTTCTCTCTCTCTCTGCTGCAGATTGAAATCCACCAGTCATCTTTCAAAGCTTCAAGCCTTTTATGTCATTGAAATTTTTCATTTGTTTTTGGTACCTAATGCAGACATAGTATCTTGTTCTTAACTGCCTTTTCAACAAAAGGAGATTTCTGTTGAGAACTCGTGAAACCACTTATACCTAAACCCTGCTTGCTCCTCCATAGAAAGACGTTTAAGGAGATTTTTTTTTGATTGTTTTTGTTTGTTTGTTTTGAGGCACTGTCTGTTAAATGAACACATCTGGTGTGGAAAGAAACTAGAAATTTCTGTTTCTGAAAATAGGATCCCTGATGATGCAAGTCTGTCCTGGGGACCTGTGCTGGCGTTTCTTAGGGAAGGGACCTCCGGGTACAGGTTTTGCCAGAACCTTTTCCAGCCTGCAGGCTGTTCTGCCAAGTGTTGTTGGTGAGGTCCCTAGGACCCCTCTGGGGTGAGAGCACTGAACCCCACACAGTGCTAAGCCAGCATGGCCCAGAGAAAAAGGGGCAGAAGTAAAACACCAGGCACCTTCAAGAACACCTGTGTGTTCACATTCCCTATCCCGGTCGAGTGTGTGTCCTCAAGCCTGCTACTTATATCCTCTCACATCTGCATGGATCCCTAGCAGGGGCCCAGGTACTAGCCCTGACCGCAGGCTTTGGGGTGGGTGCACCGTCTGACAATGTGACTGTGTCCATCCTGTTTTTCTGTGCAAGCCACTCCCAGCCTTCTGTCTCAGTACCATGCATCGTGGCACCTTGCCACATGGTCTGCCAATTGGCTTGGATTACATTTCTGGCATTTCTAATGGCTTTTTAAAACTGTGCAAATGTGTCACTGTGAGACCGGATTCATTCAGTAATGCGTCTGTTCCCGCTTCAGCGATTTTCCAAGGCGGGAAGTGAGAAGGGACAGACAGCCTCCCGTGTGCTGAGCTTGCAGCTCTGACTCTAGGTTGATAGCAAATACTAAGTCGGAATCCATTTCTGGGCTTTTCAGAATTTCAATAGTTGTACTTTAAAATAGCATACATGAAAGGTTAATCCCTACTGTTATTCCCATGAAATTACAATAGTTACTATTACCTGCATACTCTGAGAAATAGTAATGCCAGCATAGGACCAGGCAAACAAACCACATATGGTTGGAATTTTCAAAATAGTGAGGATACATTACTCCATTGCTTAAACAGTTGGAAAAAAAAATAGTATCTTCAGTTCTGAACA